GTGGTTCAAGCTCACCAGCTGCTCCTCAGAAACCCTATATAGTGTCGCTATGGGTCGGAATCGACTCGATGCACTTAACAACAACAACAACTCATAGCCCACTATGCTACCAGAGCTCCTTTCATGAAAGTAAAGCCTCCATTAATAGTGAGTTGAGTAGAATATTATTAATAATACATTAATATTATGCACATTATATTAACATTAACGAATTCATATTCTTCATATCAATGTTATCTAAAATTGCACGGTCTGTGCATATTTGATTTCTTTTATTTAAAATGTCTTACAAGATGGAACTGAATGAGTACTCTGATGAGCTGAGATGCACCTTAATTTTCTCATTTTAGTCAATCTGTTTAAATTTAGACTTTATCCAATGTTCTCCATTAGTAACAGTAATTGGAAAATAAGGCATATAAAATTGCATTTGCTTGCATTACTAGAGTGCTTATCAATGCTAAAACTTTCAGGAATAAAAAAATCACAGAGATTCAGTGATTGTCATATGTACAAAAGAATCAGCTGCATTATAACCAATTGATTATCACTAAAGAACTAAGTTAACCTACAGGTTTTCTATGCATTAAATGGCAATTTAAAGAATCAGGCATCAGTGATAATTAAACCTTGCGAAATACCAAATATATTGAAACTAACTTAGTTATTAGGATGACAGCCCAGTGGATCTGAAGCTTCGATATATGTGTCTTATACAAAATGAGTATTCTCTAATGGTCCCATTCCGTATGGTTCAGGAGATTTAGCGTAAAGTATGGAAAAGAAGGTTGTTGGAGGAATATGCTTCGAGTATCCTTGGAATAAGGAGTCCTTGATTACAATCTGGACTGCTAACTTCAAGGTCAGCAATTCAAATCTACCAGTTGCTCCAATGAGAGAAAGATGAAGCTTTCTGCTCTAGTAAAGATTCACAGCCTCGGAAATGCTATACGGGGTTGCTGTTAACTGATGTGAAATCACTCAGCCATCACCACCACCATTCTTGGTGTAGAGAAATTCAAATACAAAATTCTTGGGCTGGAAAATTAATGCTAATAAATACTCAGTTTTTGGTAAGATTCTTGCTAAGCAGCAGAAAGGATGAAATCTGTCTGTCAGCCTTTAAGAATACAGTCCTGCAAGATTTTAGCCTATAACTTGACATTATGAAGAGAAGAGAAAGAAAGCTTTAGGCTCTAAAAAAAAAAATTTCAGTAATGTCTTGGCAGCCATCGAAAGAAATAATACACTCTAATGATAGACACTTATCTCAAATTTAAATGCCATAAAGCAATTATTTATTTCTATTGAATATCAAAAGAGAAAAAATCCTATTTTTAAATGTAATTTTTAAACTGGGATATTATATCACGTAGTTAACATTATTTTTGTATAATATTAAAAAATATTTTTACCCGACTAAATATAATATCCTGTGGACGTTTCCATGTATAAATTTTCAAGGATGGTGGTAGTTCAATCTTCCCTTCAGGGTCTTCAAAAAAATGCTGTACAGAAAATAGAGCCTTTGAGTTCTTTTTCATACAGTTCCATTAAAAGAAAACCAACTTAATCTTAATAAAAATTAAATATATAAAACTAATCAATAAGCAATTATAATAAAGCTATTTGTTTGTTTTTGACGCTAGTTCATGGAGTGCTTACACAATACTTTACTTAAGAATCTTCCATTTAATCAACAAAATTCCATGAAGTGGAAGCATCACAAGTTTTGTTTTGTTTTTAGCATTTACCTGTTGAAGGACATCTGGGTCATTTCCAGTTTGGGACTATTACAAATAAAGCTGGTATAGACATTTGTGTACATTTTACAGGTTTTGTGTGAATGTAAATTTCCATTTCTCTGGGATAAATGCCCAAGAATACAATTAATTCAATAATTTTGAGTTCCTATTAAAGGTCAGAAGGAGATCCTGTAGCATAGTAGTTACAAGTCAAGCTGTTAACCTCAAGCTCAGCAGTTCAAAACCACCAGCAGTTCAGTGATAGAAAGATGAGGCTTTCTGCTCCTGAAAAGATTCACAGCCTCAGAAACCCAAAGCAGGGTCACTATGAGTGGGAACAGACTCAATGGTACACCACCGCCACCGCCACCGCCACCGCCACCACCACCATTATAGGACAGACACTGAGAACTGAAAAAAGAATGGTACCCAAATACCTGAGCTTCCATACTAGTAATCTAGAAGGTTAGGGAGACTTCATGTAGCTACTATGTAACAGTGCTCAGAGCTCATAAGGTAGTGGGCAAACAGATCCGAGCAGGTGCTAGAAAAGAAGTACAAATAAAATGCTCATAAATGATTGCAACTATTTGTGGGGAATGTAAGGACAACTCAATTTCACCTGAGTTACTGGAACTGTGGCAAATAGGTATTGTTTTTGTGATTTCATGGTGATTATATTTCTACTTTTAGGTTAGAAGATAATCCTATTTTTACCCTAAGGCTGATATGGATTATATCCATTCTAAATGGACACTGCCTCAGAAATGGATTATGTCCAGTGCAAATGGGCACTGTCTCGAATTTAAACATTTAGGTCTTGAGAGTTAGGAAATCCCAGATTAGCCCTAGTGGCACAGAAGTTAAGTGCATCGCGGCCAACCAAAAGTTTGGCATTTGGAGCCCACCAATCGCACAATGTGTGCAGAGTGTTATTTGGAAGCCAGGGAGGCCAGGATGGTCTTCATCTCTCATACTTCAGACTTAGTGTCAGGAGGGACTGGTCACTGGAGAGAGATAGTATGTTTGGTAAGGTGATGGGTCAGAGAAAAAGAGGAAGAAGCCTAGCGAGATAGACTGGCAAAGTGGCAGCATCAATGAGCGTGGCAACAATTGTGAGGTTAGCCCAGGACCGGATGGTGTTTCCTACTATTGTGCTTACGGTTGCTATGAGTCGGTATTTACTCAGTGGCACCTAACAACAACAGCAATCACACAATAAGGAAAAAATGTGGCAGTCTGCTTCTGTAAAGACTGTTGTTGTTATGTGCCGTTAAGCTGGTTCCATCTCGTAGTGACCCAGTATAGCGTTTCTGAGCAACGGCTGGTGAGTTCGAACTGCCGACCTCACAATTCAAATCAACCTTATGGTCTAGTGCTTATCTTACAGTGCCACTCCTTTGGGGCAGTTCTGTTCTGTCCTATAGTGTCACTATGAGTGAGAATTGAGTCCAGGCAACAGGTTTATATTGATCTAGAGAAGATGGTCTGTGGTCACATTTAATGTAGAAGAGTTATTTGAGTGAGAAATACAAGGGAAACTTCAGCACCCACTAAAACGTTTAAAAAATGAATCTTTGAAAATAGACTTAACTCCCAGAAAAAGTAGAATATTTCTGGGGTCCCTCACATTTTTTTCTTGGAAATATCCATTTATTGATTTTAAAGTTCCTTCTCTATCAATTTCAAATATCTGAGTCATCTATGGATTCTTTCTATTATCTGATTTTTCATCTTGGTTGTTAGTCATTTGCTTCTCTTCATTCCTGACACTTAAGATAATATGATGCACACTTAGATGATTTCCTACAGAGAAGAAGATTTCATTTCCTTTATTCAGGCAGGCAGAGTCCAAGATCAATTTGACCAAATGAATACTGGATTTCAGGATGTGGTATATCCAAAAATTCAAAACTCATTGCAGTCAAATCAGTTCCAACTCATAGCAACCATACAAGATAGAGTAAAACTACCTCACAGAGTTTCCAAGGCTGTAAATCTATATGGAAGCAGACTGCCACTGTTTAGTTTTGGTTAGCAGCTGAGCATGTTAATGCTGAACCACACAAGCTTCTCAGGATGTGGTAGGAATGGTTTAAATTTGGTTTGCTCTCACTCTGTACAGACAACTTTATCTAGGCCTCTTTACCTTGGTGTATCCTGAATTCCAATCTTGCTCCATGTTATTGCTGTTTTAAGTATATTTGAGACAGTTCTGAATCATAGTGACCCTGAATAAGGTTTCCAAGGAGTTACTGGTGGATTTGAACTGCTGACATTGTGGTTAGTAGTCCAGTGTTTACCCTATGGTGCCACACTAGGACCTTCTCAGTGTTGTAGCTTCCCAGCTGCTGCTCTTCATTCATTTTCTCAGCAGCTTGTCCTCCATACACATAGCTTATTTTTTGTTACTAACTGCTGTTGAGTCAGTTTTGACATATAGTGACCCTGTATAGGCTTTCTAAGGAGCAGTTGGTGAGTTTGAACCGCCAACCTTGTGGTTCAAATAGACCTTGCAGTTGAGTGTTTTTCATACAATGACAAACCAGAACTCCACACATAGCTTTGTTGTTATTGTTGTTAAATGCCATTGAGTTTGTTCTGGGTTTCCAAAGGACCACCTGGTAAGTTTGAAATGCCAACCCTGTGGTTCAAACCAACCTTGTGGTCCAGTACATTATCCTGCATAGCCACACCAGCTTGCTATAGTTGTTCAGTGCCATCGAGTCAACTTTGACCCACAGTGACCCTGTATAGCTGGTGAGCTTGAACCACCGACCTTGCTGTTCAAACAACTTTGCAGTCTGACGTGTTAACCCGCAGCACCACACCAGGACTCCCCACACCAGCTTAAAAGTTGGAAAATGCCTCAAAGTAATGCCATAATCAACATTCTGGATCACTTCTCTGTAATTACCTCATCCCTGGGCCCCAGTTCAGGTTGCTCTGACAGCCCTGGATATTACCCTCTGCTCTCCAGCCCACAGACGCTACCATAGCTTCAGACTACTACTGTCTGCTTAGCTCTAATCTCCAGGTCCAGAATGGATAAACGTCTTTGAGAAAAACAACATTAATGTGAGGCTCACTCTCGTGTTCTTCCCTTTTTTCCAGGCTTGGAGCCCCTCACATTAAGAAGAGAACGATTAAAGAAAAAAAAAAAAAAACTAAAGTGAATAAAGCGAAATACTGTTAACTGACAGTACATGGAGGGGATTATAATCATTTTAATGAAACAAGGTATATGATTTATTGAATGTAAAACTGATGATCTGCCCTGTAAACTTTCAATCTACAATAAAAAAAAAACTTAAAAACTTAAAAAAAAGAGAATAATTTTCCATATCATTTTGCTGTAAAAGTATTTTTTATATCCATTTCACAGTACCCCCTTTAGTTCATATACTACTTGTCATAATTTAGTTTAAGAAGTTACTGAATAAAGGGAAGAGCTCATTTTTCTGAAGCTGATTTCCTGATGGCCAAACTCACATCTGGAATCCTAGTGTGGCACTATAAGATAAGCAATGAACTGCAAACTACAAGGTTGGTGGTTCAAATCTACTAGCTATTCCTTGAAAGGCTGATATAGGGACGCTGTGAGTCGTAACTGACTCAACAATACTTAACAACAACATCAACAAATTTACACTTATGAAGCTGACCTTCTTCAAAGATCAAAGGATACCAAGTATACGTGATTGGTGGCTTAGGCCAACCAAGCCTGATGAAAGGTGGATGTTGCCAGTGAGGACTAAGAGGTCATGTGTCAAAACATTACGAAGACGCAATCACGAAGGTTGGACATTAGCCTTTCCTTGTCCACTACCAGTGGAGGTGTTGTTGTTTCCCCAAGTCTTAAGTCATGAGGGCTGAACTGGTTGAAAAGAACAGGGGGTATAGAAGGTGCAAGGTTCTATCCTAATTGTTACCACTGTGCTCTGTTAGACTAACCAGGGTTTTGGCTGGTACTCCCCTGCTTTGTGAAAGCTGCAGTGTCAGAATAGATTGGTGGCTAAGATTTTGTAGAGTTGTCACACTGAACTGGGCCATATTCCCAATTCACAGAGAGGGTGGGGGTGGTGGGGAGGCAAGTGCTTCACTAAGCAAGATGTTTTTTAAAACTCCTAAATTCAAGGGTCAGGTTACTTCCTTTGGAGCCTGCTATTCAACCAGCCTGAATCCTATGTGCCACGGAAGGAAACGAGCAGCAAGTGATCAGCACATATATGACTACTCCAGTCCTATTAGCCTTCCTCCAATAAATGCTCTGACAACAGGCTGGTCATTGTTTTCCTAGCACTTTATGAAGCTCAGAATCTAATACAATCTTCAAGAGATCTTCAAGATTTTTCTATCTGGTAACAGCAAGTTTGGTCTCCAAGGTCCTTTAGAAAGTTCCATTTTTATAATCTATTTCCAAATTTTTAGATTTTTCTGTTCAACCTCTCCTTGTTATTTCTCCACACATGGGAGTAAATCATCTCTAGGTCTTCTCCAGAGTTCAGAATTAGCTAAGTGTATCATCTCGAAGCCACTACTTGTCTGTCAGTTTGTCGTACTATGGTGGCTTGTGAGTTGCTGTGATTCTAGAAACAATGCCACTGGTATTTTAAATACCATCAGGGTCACCCATGGTGGACAGGTTTCAGATGAGATTCCAGACAAAGACAGACTAGGAAGAAAGAGTGAAGAACTGCTTCTGAATCTTTAGTCACTGAAAACCTGATGAATAGCAAAGAAACACTGTCAGACATAGTGCC